AATCGCCCCCCTCCCCCATTTCATAGTTACGACTTAGCAAGCGTGTTCCATCAAAAGGGATATCTGGATATCAATCGGGAGCATTCATCAAACATGAATCGGTTAAACTGAAAATATCCATAAGCCTCTTGTAGGTTTCAGTAGAAAACACAGCAGTGGATTTATCTGGAACTCCTCTGAGGCATATGCCAAAGTTTGCAGCTAATGTCTCAACAAAATTTATCAAAAAGACTATTATACTTAGTTTGTTTAAATACTCCCTAATGGCAGAGAACATAAGAGCTTAAGATTATGCCAAAAATTAGTTCATTCTCATTTTCCCTGCCAGGAGCACTTAGTTATGAATCCGTGATAAATCCCCCCATCAAACACGTCTTCATGGTAGAATTATCTCGCTATAAGACATTCGCACTGTGACAATGTTTTGGACACTTGAGTGTGCTCCACTGTTTTCTAAAGTCTGATGTTTAGAGTCGTTGCGGTGATTGGAACCACACGATGTGTGGTGTGCTCCTGCACTGTTTACCCGTGAAGATTGGGTTTAAAACGTATCCTCAGTAACCCATGCTTGTCGTAAGAGGCGACTAACAGGATCGAGTGGTCAGGCTTGTTGATTTGGTTGACACATGTCATCGGTTCCCAAATGCATACTTTGATGCTCATGCTGCTGATCACTGGATTGTCTGGTCCAGACTCGATTATTTACAGACCGCCGCCATATAGCTGGAATATTGCTGAGTGTGGTGTTAAACAACAAACCAACCAGCCCAAGCCTGCACTGTCTGATGCATATCAATGTTAGTTCATTTTAGAGTGGGTGAAGACAAAAACGTGTACTTTCACGCTGAAAAGGCATTCCGACAATATATCATACCTGAAGTGGTTTATGATGTGTAAGATATGCATATTGCATTAGCCGCGAACCTTCACATGACCTTAACCTTAATCTTCTGTCAGTGGAAGAGGTTCAATGTAGGTGAACTCCTTACGTTTTCAACTGAATTGTGAAAATGTTGACCTCGTCAAAGAGAGTTTTTGTCATGTTAAACCTACTTAGCAATTATAGATTTAGTTGGCGCCGTGGTAGACATTTCGATTTTGTGTTTTCTCCCAACTCCTTTTTATAACTATGTTGGAGATGTCTTTCGTTTTGCCACTGTTAAACAAATCCTCCCAAAATGTTCCCAATTGTACTTACAACACAGTGTAAAATATACCCATTCCCATTAGTGTAAAAGCGTCTAACTTATGTGAATATAGTCAATGTACCTCTACAACATTACAGGAATGAACGTACGGTTAATGAAACAGTACAAAAACGTCCGCCGGTCGGGCAAGTACAATATTCATTTGTTCTGCAAGATCAATGTTGTAGAGGAACGCTCACGGCTCTGGAGAATGTTCCGGGTTCCCTGTTAGAGCGTAGCGCTGTAGGCCCCCGGTAGTCACTACAAGTGATGGCGGAACCTAGTGTTCCATGTGGGAGAGATTTATTGATATCAATTACTATATTACGAGGAGCACAACGTTTCGGAGTACATCTTGACTCCTTCATCAGTCGAGTGGGGAATCAGCGTATATTCACCGTATACTGACAAAGGACAGCTACATTACCCGATGAATAAGTAAGCATATTTTCAGCGTCCATTGCCATGGAGACTTCATCAGGTGGCGAAGCAGGAGAAATCATATACTTGTTGTGGTGTTTTTCCCTTAGAATAGGTGAAATCTAAAAGTTGCCATCCTAAAAATTCTCTCCTTAATGTGTATCACTTCTTAATGGTGCTTTAAAATGCCCCGTCCGACAGAGCGATCTAAGAGCTAAGGTGATCTTAACTACCATACTTTAACATTCAATTTGGCTTAAGGTAGTCGTTGCACTAAGATTGCTTTGTGGAATGTTGCCTAGTGTACAACTAAGACTGTCGTAAGTCTATGTTAAGCTGTCGAAGTTGCGATCACTTTAGCGCTGAGATTGCTTTGAACAACGGCACGTAGGGTCTTGTGACCTCAGCGATACGACTCCTATACTCTAACGTAGACTTATGACAGTCACATCACTTTATAGAACAGGGTGTAGTTGTATAATGTGATCTAAGCGCTACGGTAATCGTAACTCACATACCTTAACATAGACTTACGACAGTGGCAGTTCTACTTTATAGAACAGGGTGTAGTTGTATAATGTGATCTAAGCGTTACGGTAATCGTAACTCACATACCTTAACATATACGCACGACAATCGCAGTTCTACTTTATAGAACAGGGTAGGTTGTATAATGTGATCTTAGCGCTACCGTAATAGTAACTAACATACCTTAACATAGACTTACGACAGTCGAAGTTCTACTTTATAGAACAGGGTGCAGTTGTATAATGTGATCTTAGCGCTACGGTAATCGTAACTCACATACCTTAACATAGACTTACGACAGTCGCAGTTCTACTTTATAGAACAGGGTGTAGTTGTATAATGTGATCTTAGCGTCTACGGTAATCGTAACCTTCATACCTTAGCATAGACGTACGACAGTCACATCACTTTGTAGAACAGGGTGCAGTTGTATAATGTGATCGTAGCGCTACGGTAATCGTAACCTTCATACCTTAGCATAGACGTACGACAGTCGCAGTTCTACTTTATAGAACAGGGTGCATTTGTATAATGTGATCGTAGCGCTACGGTAATCGTAACCTTCATACCTTAGCATAGACGTACGACAGTCGCAGTTCTACTTTATAGAACAGGGTGGGTTGTATAATGTGATCTTAGCGCTACGGTAATCGTAACTCACATACCTTAGCATAGACTTACGACAGTCGCAGTTCTACTTTATAGAACAGGGTGTAGTTGTATAATGTGATCTTAGCGCTACGGTAATCGTAACTCACATACCTTAGCATAGACTTACGACAGTCGTACGACAGTTTAGCGATAAGGTTATTTTGTACAAAGGCAGACGCAACTTCAACGGGTACGGGTATCATGTTGAGATAAAGAGACACAAGCTTTAACTACCAAACATTGGACTCAACAACAAATACAGTCGAATGTAGGGAAATATGTTAAGGGTAATTACTATGCATCCTTTGTTGGTAAACCCGAACAGTTAATATGGACAGCTCCACAAGAGACATTACAGTCAGGAATAGCGGCGTTTCCTTCACAAAAATGAACGTATGACGATTATATTGACAGGATAAACTGGCAAGATATGAGTTATGTTGTGTGGAAGTTTTCTGAGCAAATAGCAGAGCCCATCACACATGCTGATCGGTTTATTTGTACAGGTTAAGTACACAGTAAATGGCTATACCGACATGTGACTCATGTATTTCGTTAAGCTGGTGATCTCTTTGTGAACAACGAACACACCCAAAATAATCATTCCATCAATACATAAGGTTGTATGAATATTTAGCGTTCACACCAAACCAGCACATCGCTCCACCTGGTCACATTGTTATGATTCCTACTGTTCTGCCTATATCATCTGATGTCAACAGTGACTTCAGTATTTGCCATAATTTGCCATTCTCAGGCGCTGACCTTTCACATTTTATGGCATTTTGCATTAACAAATAAAATATGTGGGCGAAAACGTAAAACTGCTGTAGCAAACCGAACATAGTTTTTAAATGATTATCAGAAAACACAGAAATTCTGCACCTGTACGCTGCAAGAATGCAATTTATAAGTGAACGCTCTCTCGTGTCACAAAATTATCTGGTCCAGAACACCTATCACTGGATGTCATTGGTTCGATTGTTCATTCTGGCCGTTATATGGCAGGAAGATAACTGGGTGAAGCGTTAGGCTAAAAGCGAGCATTATTTGTGCTATAGTTTAGTGGTTGTGTGATTGAACAGTGCTACCTGTGAAGCAGGACATGCTCGCTCATTTCAAAGACACCTGATGTCGGTGCTTATTTTCTGTGACTCATTTATGTATATTGTATCACTATTCAACATTTGTATTAGCATTCGCTATGAAAACAGTTTCGGCAGACTTGTTATTCGCAAGCCTTTACGTTATATTTCCACTAAAAATTTAGGTGTAATTTAGGATTTACGACCCATTTCTGTAAATGTTGGTCATACGGTTGTACTCATAAATACTACGTGTCATCAAGTTGCTGATCATACTACAATACGTACTAAAACTACTAAACTACAATACGTTCGACGTTGATATCCAATATTAAAAGTTTATGCATATCTTCCCTAAACTAATACCTATCCGTTTAAATCACTAAAGCCTAAAAGTAACACAAGGCGAAGCCCTACTTTCACAGGCAATGTCAGTCATATTCTATTAATATAACATGCATTGCAGAAAGTCCGGTTCCTGAAGCTATAAAAAATCACTTACTCGTAGGGGGTGAAAATAAATATCGAAACTGGTCCTTGACACTCTCCAGAAACGGGAAATTGTCAGGGAACACTGCTGACATGATAACTCTATCAAATTTACACAGTGTCTCTGAAGTCGATGATCAGGGAAACACTGAGTGCCGAGAAGATTGAACATGCTTCATTTCAAGACAGATTGTAGCGCATGACTAGGTATTTGACGGGCTAAAGGGAATCTAAATCAATTACCAGAACCAAAGGAAATATTTTTCATCACACCCGATCTTTAGTTCAATATTTATGACATAATATCCACTCTCCAACCTTGATGTCTTCTATTATCCCGTAAGCATTAGTCACGGCTGATTTATAATTCTCTATATCGAAATGTGTAAAATATGCCAGAGATGATATGGGCATCATCAAAGACAATATTAACGGAGTTGATATGCCACAACATAATATTCTACATTTCACAAAACAATAGTAGACATCCCAACAAGCAAAAGAACTAAACGGAAAACACCATAAAACATGATCTATTTAGCTTGAGAGGTTTACATGCAACATTTGAACCCTATGGCTCGTAAAATGCAAGTGATTAAAGTAAAGTTGTAACAATCTATCGAAACAAAACATTACTCACTGTTAAATGTCTTAGAAGGCCGTCCATTCCTTAAAAGATGTCCCTTGAGCGTGAAGCATTACCGTGCTCACCACAACAAGAAGTACGGAACCATTCCTGGTTTTACTTCAAGAGAAGGTAGGGGCGGCAGAAAGTTCATTTATTCCTGTGAAAGGGCTCGTCACATTTTCGATGACTTGTATGGGAACACTGGCAATGCAAGCGAACCTTTCCTTCGACTGGTGGAAGATCGATAAAGTCCTCTGTGGTATGAAGAGGCTCGGAAATCGTCGCATGAAACGCTTTGGAGGGTTGTTAGAATGTTTATGTGGTCAGAGAATTAATTAGTGGAGTTTACTGCCAATTAGTGGCCATTGTAAGAACAGGAACGTTGCTCCTCCGTGTTTTCAAGAGGTTTGCGCCATAGAGAAGTCAGTTGGGAAGTTGGAAGAATTGTAGAAATGTTTGGCAGCACGGGGTCTACAGCATTGTGTAGTCAGTCAATAGAGGGCTATGGACGGAGCTCCATGACTTGTTGCTGTCTCTTGGCACTGAGGTTAATCAGCCACATCCCGACCCTGCACGTGCCGGTTATTGGTTTCGTCACGTGCTGTCATAGACAATCATTTATCTGTTGCCGTGCCTGCAATATCCTTGCTTTGTCTTCGGATTGTTCGTCTTTGCCATGTCGGTCGGATTAGAGAAGTATGAAAGTAGGAAATACATTAATTTAAACCTATTCCTTAGAAATCCATCTTAATGAACTATGTCTTCAGTGTTTCAAATCTACCATCACTCTTTGGGTGTCTCGCCTCGTTTGTTAGGCGTTAATGCTACAAATGGAATACAACGGACATCATGTTACTGCTTGATCGATCTGTTTGTTTTGCACTTACAACCGGATTAGCTTAATGTCACTTCTGATAGGCCTGCGACAGTTATTCAGCCAATGAAATTCAACATCCCGATTTTAGTCTCGATCTAACAACTCTGATCAATATAGAAACATTCTTTCAAATTAAGGACATGATAATATGTAACACAAACTGGCCCGTATACCTAACTGGGGCATCGCTTTACGTGAGGAGATATCGAAAGGAGTTGAACTTAGCTTATCAGAATATTGTAGTTCTAGCGCTCCATACTGATATTGATGTTGATGATAATCTGGTTATTATTATCAAATCATGTTATTGCGAACACTTTATATGATCACTGTTTGAGAGGGGGAAGGGTGGGTATGCATGCTGTCGTCGCAATCTTACCGTGAACATTGATTTTGAATTCTTGATTACAAAAATGTTTTGTGACTTTTATCTATCACTGAAAGTGTTAGTGTGGTAAGTAAATGTAATGCGCTGTACCGACTAACGACATAAAATCAGCAAGAATCGAGAAGAATGTTTAACCGTTTCCTGTTAATTTGATATCAATTTCAACGGATCGCCAGATCACAGGGCGTAGAATGAACGAAACAGTTGGCCGCGTGTTTGTAAATTAACACTGATAAGGACGGCCTTGAAGATCTTCACGTCGACGTGAAATGCGATTTTGTCGGAACTGGAGTGTGCCATCGTATTGATCACCTGAGATAATGGTGGTAAAATGGTCTCGGTGAATGAAAGTCTTTCCCGCAGTTTTTAGACATATATCAACAATATATCGGCAAGGGTGACAAGATATGGGCTTCACACATTATACTGGTTTCACACATTATGAGAATCAAACCCACACCTTCGACGTGACCACCGAACCCTTTAACAATTAGACCACCTCACCGACCGTACAATTATGTGATATTTTTAACGATTTGAGATGTCTGTCCTAAAACCTCTACAGACACAGTGTACCACTTTATCTTCAAATAATTCAGTTTAATTTCACGAGACAATCAATACCAATCAGATTGATGTGGAAAAAAACGTTTCATAGATTCAAACGTAAACCCGCGCATATTAAAAATGCAGAAAGTTTCTTGATCAAATCCTAATAAAACCATTTTGGCATATCTGAGAGCATAAAAAGGTGTTTATCAATACATCACCTTCAGTCAGACATATAAACTGCACTAGAACCTCAAGACGTAGCACTAGCAATATCATGTCATTATTTACTTCGTCTGTGCCTTAGCGGAATTAGTAAGTCATCCATACATTGATGTTTGGTCCAAAGTGCATTTCAACCGCACGAACCTTGTTTTGGTCGAAACAGTAAGAAAATATCTCATTGACAGAATTACATTGCTAGACATAATCTCTGCTTGGTATCCACAGACGTTGCTAAATCTTCTGGACAAGGCTTATATAACCGCCACATCGAGCTGTAATACTCTACCTTGTCTGCACTGCTTACGTTTTGGTTTAGGTACAATTTCAGGCCAGCATCACACGACAGCATCACTTGATGAGTGCCGGAGTGCCACTTACAAGAGCTATAGATTAGGGGAGCAAGCAGTTCAGTTTCTCAGACTAATGGATTATTGCACTTGGCATTATTTCGGGGTCGACGAAATTGGTTTAATTTGCTACTTCAGATCTAGCCGAGCTGCTCAAATTAACCAACGCTAGCTGGCGTTGTTTTTAACACCGTTCCGGTAAATCGTTACGTTCCGGTAATTGGCCAAGGTGTTTTCAAATGGACGATTTTTAAGCGCCGTCGGTTATGTAAACGAGAACTGAATTAAAGGAGACCGTTTTTCTGCGGTTGAAACGCAGAATAATATCGCACTAAATCTGTTTGAAAGAAGGATATTTGGGATTTCAAACGCACACTGAGGCATCCATGTCCTTACTTAGAGCTCAAAGACGCATAAGCCTCTGTTCATGACTTGAGTAAATAATGTTCACAAGAACAGTAAAGGGGAGTATCTCTGTTTGTGGCGTGGATATAGTTCTTCGCTGAGGCGGAATCCGACGTTGAGCCTCTTGACCTTCATCTGTTCATTGGAAGAAGATAACTACACATGCGTTTCTTTCATAAAATATACACAATATATACCCACAAAAAAGTAACTTTGTACTCTGGCCATAAATAATAAAGGCAACTTAAAACAATTGCTTAGCATCTCCTGTATTGTATAAATGTTACAACATACAAAACCAGTATGATGAACTCGTATGTGCGCAGGCCAATGGTGTGTGCTTCATGGAAGATGCAACGTTGTTAAAACTAGGTTGTTTTGTTTGACCCAGATTCAATATAGGGAACACATTATTAACAGCGAACACAGCGAACACGGCGAATACAGGAGCAAGGTGTACCCTCATACATCTAATACCATGAAGATCCGGGTTAGAATATTGATCTTCAGTAACCCATGCTTGTCGTAAAGGGCGACTAAAGGGGATCGGGTGACCAGGCTCGCTGACTTAACTAACACATGTCATCGGTTCCAAATTACACACATCGATGCTCAAGCTGTTTTGTCACAAGATTGTCTGGTCCAGACTCGATTATTTACAAACCGCCGCCATATAGCTGGAATATTGCTGAGTGCGGCGTAAAACTAAACTCACTCATTCATACATCTCACAACGTGGTAAAGTGGATGGACCATCTTCCCGAGGAGCGATGGTTGGTTCGCTCCCACACGTAATACCAAAAGACATTAAAAGATGGTTCTTGTTCTTCCCCTGCCTGACGCTCAGCATAAACTGGGAAAACAAGAGCTGGGTTCATTATAGTAGGGTTGGGGGGTGTCCATGTTAAATCGCGGTATGGCAACTCATTTGGCTGGCCCTACAAACCTGGAACAAACGCCCACTCACGTGAAAACACATGACGAATATTGAACGCTGCGTCAAACGCTGTTCACCTCAACTTGTCTCTCACAGTTACATTCAACGTTGTCCGGTTGTGTTTTGGGCCGGTTTTAGCTGTAGTCAAATTATTTCACGGTGGAAAACATACAGGTATTAGAGGTATTACAGCCACGTGGGCAAACCGAGCTTTCTCCCTTAGTTACCGTAAGTGTTTGGGGTTTGTTCTTGTTTTGTTTGTTTGTTTGTTTGTTTGTTTTGGTCTGTAACGACTCAACAATATACCAATTGTATGACGCCACTCAATCAACCAAGTCACCGAGTTTGACCACTCACTTCATGTGGTCGCTACTGCAGTCAAAGATGGGTGGGGACCTTTTTGAATCCGGATCCCCACGGGTGACGAATATGTCACGCTATTATATCGTAAGTACAGAAATATCACAAAACTATTCCAACATGAACATAAAATGTTATCGCATTCCGCATGCTCAAAGCGTTAACATGTAAGTTATATCAAGTTCCGAGCATGCATTTCAGTGATTATCCCAATCAGCCCTTCAGCCTCGTTCCGCTAATGAATACGTCATTAGGTAACACGGTGGGATCAGCGCAGCGCAAGTAAACAACCAGTCAATATTTCAGGTACGCACATTTATCGGAGAGCATGTCGTTGGATGATTTATTGGTTGAGCTTTACAGCATTGATTCCAACAGAGACAACCCATTTAGCACTTTGCAAACATTGCAACGACATGTTGTCTCAGAAATCATACACATTTGTGAAGCAGAAAGATACTTGAGCTGAAAATAACGCAGCTGCTAATTCTTCGCACTTTCATCGATCGAGCCTACTTTACATACGAACAGTGATATGGCAAGTCACGTCAACTACCCCGCAATCTATGGGTTATGTTATTTTCATGACCACTCACATGGAGTGATAGATTAATCAACGCTTAGAATAGTTACGGCCCACATGCCATCAAGTTTCTAAAGCATCGGTAGGTTTGTGGCGTGTCCAATAGATATCTACTGTATGCCGAGTATGTACGTATAAAGGATAAGGGGGGAATTGTAGCTTAACCTCCTCAAATAAGAAGTAAGTGAGAAAGGGTTTTCGTGTGTTGTAATATGATTATGGTCTTGCAACGAGAGACGTTATAGGTAGATAGTTCCAACAGATGACCTAGCGCCTGGCATTTAAGTACGAGTCGGCACTTATCACCACGCTAACATCCTAACTCTGATTGTATTAAAACATTTTTTATTCTTTCAGTCAGTCAGTCGGGGTTTTTTTACCTTTAACTTCATTGTGACAAAACTGTTTCAAGCTTCAAACGAAATCTCTACGAAACGTCCATTGCACCAGCTAAAACATAATCGCAAATACTAAGTAAACGATATCACGTGTTCGCGAATAGGTGAGTATCCTGCCCACCGGGGCACCTGTCACAAACACATACAAGGCTGGGGCAGGGGAAATACTGCTTGACATGAAGGGAAAGTGCACTTTTGAAAACTGAAGTCACCCATCTGTTGTCCGTCTGAATATTGTAACACCCTTGGGGTGCACGTGGGAAAACAAATGACACAAGGAGATGATGAAGTAGAGAAGCAAGGTTTGCCGTGATGTATGCAAACTTGTTTAATTTTGTTTCAATGGCAAGAATGTAGATGGGACTTTGATAGCAATGCAATAAAATAAATGATGCCAATAAATATCAAACACTACTCGGCCTATATATATAGATCTAATGACAAGGCTCAGTCTCCAAGGAAATAGTTATTTGTTTATTTCAACTTGAATATCTTGCAGAAATGATACTGTGTATGTAATATAGTTATCAAATTGATTGTAATTTGACTTAAAATATATACCTAGAAGCAGTTATGATGATAAATCTAAGTCAGTATCGGTGCCAGGTAAAAATAAGAGCAGGAGCCTTTAGTCAGACTGAATGTCTTATTGTATCTAAATCGAGTGACCCGAGTGAATCGAATGAATCGGAATCGAGTCAGAATCCGAATCGAATTCCTAGGCCTTGACCAGTGATCGTATTTA